CAGACTAGCCCCAGATCTCACTCTTTCAACCCAGGACGCACCCTGACCAAGGAACTGACTTTTTCTTTAAATATTGGACAACATGATCTGGACACAAAGAGTAAACAGATTCAGCAGTGGATCGAAAAAACGTACAAAGTCCAGATTACAGTGAAGAAAGGGAAGAGTGCAGACGAGCCCGAGAACAAAATGGTAAAAGTGAAAAGAGGCCCGAGCGATTGCTGTGTCTTTGTTTTCTGAACTTACAAGTACAGCTGTGGAAAATCTGGAAAACGTAAAGGCAGAGAAAAGTAATAATTCTGCCCAGTCTTGGTGGCAGCTTTCTGATTGGGTTTTCAAAATCCAAAATGTACACACTTTTTTGCCACCGTAGCATTTAGTACTTCGCCACATGGGAACACTACTTCCTCACTTAAGGGCTATATACTATTCTACTTCACAAACTGTAGAGGGTCTAACATTTAAATAGGAAGACTAGAGACCGATACAGGTTCATCTTTTTAAGTCCGATTCCTCTTTATAAATGCCTATGAGATGCATTCAAGTCAAACTCTTCTAGAAAGTGTTAGTTTACAGTCCCAGGATTAATCTGTAAAGGATCTGTGGATTTCGCTTTTGGAGTTACACAGCTTAGCAGCAGATAAAGGCAGCATTTACTCCAGTGGTTTTCAGCCCTAGCTCTGGGCTAGAATGAGCCAGGCCCTGGGCCCAGTCCAGCCTACCCAGAATCTCTAGAACCATGTGTCTGTCTTTTTCTAACCACCTCAATGACTCTGTGAAGGACAGTTGGGAACAGCACTGAGCTGACAATCTGGGGGCATAAGGGCACCCTGCCAGTGCCCAAATCCACCGCTTTGCACTTTTTGTGAGAGGGTGGTCTGGGCCAAACATAGCCTCTCAGTGTCATGACGGGGGATTCAAAACTATCAAGCCTTTAGCGCGTTGGACTAGTTACATGGAGTTTGTATAACCACCTGGTTATTGGACAGGTTTCGATCAGCTTAACCAGGTCTATACGATTTGACTTAGCAAATCCCTTATATAGCAATTCAAGAATGCTGGCTTTTATGGGTATCAGATAAGCATGAACACTGGCAAGAATCAGAGGTGCTGGTTTTACACTAGCCTTTTGTTTCCTCTTCTAGGAGGAGACGTGTAATCGAATCGTCCAGACCATGTCTGGAATTGCAACCTTCTCATCCCGGCTGCAGCCCATCAGAGGAGGCAAGGCTGTGATGTGTGTTCTTTGTCCCTTGAGCAAAAAGGAGGAGGCTGCGTGGAGAGCAGCTCCGGGCACCCCGAGAGGAGACACTGTATTTTGAGGCTGATTGTTTAGCACACAAGGGTTGATGATGACTGTACTTTTGGCCTATTCTTTTTACATCATTCTTTATACTTTTTTGGCCTTATATTTCACTTTTCAAGGTGTTATGATTGATATCCCAGCTTTTTTTTTTTAGATCTGGATTTGTTTATCTTATTTCATCCTCTCACATTCAAACATTTATGCCTTTCTGTTTTAAATCTATTTATTGTAAACAGCAAATTGTTAAGTCTCAAAAAAAGTGCAACCTAAGAGTCTCTGTATTCCAGTGGTGATTTAATAGTTAACTTTTTTTTTGGTCAATTAGGTACTGTCATAATGTATCTAAATTCTACCTTTTGTCCTTTGGCTTATTTTTTTGTGCTTACTATTTACAATATTTTCCTCCTTTTCTGCTTTCCATTGTAAAGATAATTTTTCTTCTGGTTCAAAATTTGTAATTCTGATTTTGTTCTCATGGCGGTTGCCCTTATCACCCATGTTTATTCCTCCTGTGGACTTAGTAAACTTACCAATTTTTGCACAAGCTAAGTACTGTAATAGGTGCTCATGACTCTCTCTCTATCCCACTCCTTGCCATCATTTAGTATTCCAGTTCTAGGTCTATTTCTTCCACTTCTCCCCTTTGGTTGTAATGATCGATGAACAGTTTGGTCACCTCACATTTCTTCTGTCTTTTGCAGCATTTCCCGGTTTCGTTTTTCTCCCTTGTTTGGATGCTTCCACTCAGACTGTTTTCAGTGCATGCGTCTGTGGGTGAATCTTATGCCTGAGGACACTTTTGTTATTCTCATTAATGACTCCTGTGTGTAGAGCAGTATCCAGGCAGCTTCGCTGGATTGAGTGTTTTGGCCCTAGTCTTGGAGTCTCTGGTTAGGAAGTCTACAGTGTTTCTCTTTTCTTACCAAACTGACTCGTCAGTGGAGTACTGGTGAGCTGGCCATCTGGGAAAACTCAGATTTGTGATCTGTTGATTTCTGGGGTGTAAATACTCCCATCCTGCCCTATTTCCAGCTATCTAGGCAATGCCACTAAGTGAGACCCTGGAGGGATGTGTTCATGGAGGGATCTGTATAACCAGAGCTCAGATGCTGCTTGGAGCTGGCTCCTCTCTCCCCTGTTGACACAGAAGTGAAGGGCTGTGTTGCATGGGCTTCCTTGGTGGCTCAACAGTAAAGTATCCTCCTGCCAGCGCAAGAGATGTGGATTCGATCCCTGGGACAGGAAGATCCCCTGGAGAAGGAAATGGTGACCCACTCTAGTATTCCTACCTGGGAAATCCCATGGACAGAGGACCCTGGCAGGTTGCAGTCCATAGGGTCTTAAAGAATTGGATACGCCTTAGTGACTAAACAACAACAAGCAGAAGAACTACTTGGGTAGCCTCTAGATGTTGTACATTTCGTAACTCAATTCTTATTTTTAAATCCCATCTATTTCTACCTTGCTTGGTATCCTGGGCCAACTCAACTTGATTTACAGTGGAGGATATTGAAATATTTAGAACAGCTGAATGGATTTGTTAGTGGTCAGTAATCAGAATGGCATGCATGTAGAGGGTTTTCTGCTCTTAATAAAACCAGATTATAACACTTTAGTGGAAAATGCACGAAAAGTGGTATTTTAATAGTTCTATGTCATCACTTAGACGTTCTGGGGCAGCTGAGAGAGCTGCGAATATAAACAGCCTTTTGGTGAAATTCCCGGATGCTGGATCCTCAGAGAGCCATAACTCCCGGGTCATGAAAATAGAGCCCGAGACCTTCTTGGCCCCCAGGTGTGATCACAAACTCAGAGGTAGCCTCTGGAGTGTGACTTGCTCCCATTTCCTATGTGGACATTTGTTTCCAGAGGTGCACCATTTTCCTGGAGAAGCTATAATTGGTTAGATATAATCTGGAAGAGAGGTAGGCAGCCCAGGATTCTTGGGCTGGTGGAAGAGGACTGGGATCCTAGGGCTGACACAGGAAAGAAAAAATCAACGCAGACACCAGCTTTTGCTAAATATTAGATTTATAAAGAGTTTGTCCCCTACAGCCTGCTTCCTTCCTTCATCTTCTGCCTTAGGTCCTAACCCCATCATGTTATCCTGGAAATATGGAGCACGTGGACATTGAGGTACTGTAAGTTCACCCCTGTTCTTGGGGGGAATGGGTGAGAAGGCTGAGCCACATGCCCCTTTTCCACAAAAGGGTCCTGTGTTTTAGGAGCTCAATGTTATAACCAGAGCAACTAAATAACATTTAGTTACTGGTCATTCAAGAGGTGGTGGATTAGTCATTTTAGGGCATAAGACTTCCCTAAAAACTGGAATGAGTTGTAACAATCAGCATTTCAACTCAAATAGAAAACAATGATTATGGTCATTTCTGTATAATTCTCTTTATAAGCAAATCAAACCTTCTTCTGATAACTTTCAACCTATCCTCATCTCTTTTTTCTAGAGGGGAGGACTTTTATTGTTTTGGACTTTATATAAAACAGTCATTACAACGAATATATAGCTATTTCTTTCTCAGTGTTAAGACAGAATATGTGGCAAGTGATCCTGTGGAAAGAGGTAAGAGTGTATCTTATCTGTTCATCCTCATGATATATGCTTTCAAATATACGCTTGATCACAGAACAGGTGAGCCCCATTTTTAAGAAAACCTACACCAACTTGCAAGCTTAATCATTTAATGAGTATGCTTATGAATATTATAAAAGGAAACACATTTGTTTAAAATATGATTTAAATGTTGAGAAAGATCACTTTTCATTTAATGACATTTCTAGTAACATTTGTGATGTAAAGGATGGCATGTTGTCATTTCCAGTGGACTTAGGTCATAACCCCAAGTCAGAGAACATCACATGTGTTCATGTGTGCTCAGTCGCTCAGCCGTGTCCAACTCTTTTGACTCCATGGAGTGTAGCCTGCCAGGCTTCTCTGTCCATGAAATTTTCCAGGCAAGAATGCTGGAGTGGGTTGCCATTTCCTACTCCAGAACATCGCATGACTCGAGAATAAATCTCCACACAACGTTAAAATTGTCCTGCCTCTTCTCCTGGTAGCCCTTTCATCTTCTACTCAGCTTAAAGTAATTATTTATTGGTCATGTTGATTTGTCAGTTTAAAGGAAAGAGAAGGATCAATACTTCTGAGGTGGAAGGGACTGCAAGGCCCCTCTCCGTCGTGAAACCAGTAAGAAATTGGAGCTGAGAAGGGGGATGGACCCACCCGAGTGGTTGGAATTCACTCGTGGCAGTTCTGGAGGCAGATCCGCCCTTTGCCTTCTTGGCTAATTTCCTGATACTGGACCTCACTGCACTAAATGACTGATGACAATGTCACCCATCTCTGTCCCCTTCCTGGTGAGTTGTCCTTAGGGATGTGGTTTATTTTGCAAAAGAGGGAAGCTTCTCCTCAAAGGGAGCTCTTATGAAGTGAGCTATAGGTATAAAGTCCAAAGTAACCATATTTTTGACAAATATTCTGCATCTTGGAACAGAGAGCTTGCTGAATAGTGACTGCATGCATATTCCCCTGTTCTTGGGAATAACTAGGGTGTAGGCTTGCTTGGGGGCAGAATCACAGAACAGACAGAAGGAGAGCTTAAGTGGTCTTCAGCCTGGGAACCTGGACACCCTGCCAAAGGTTGAATTTACAGAGACATGTATCGGAAAGGGCAACTTAGGAGACATCGTAAGCCTGGTACTTTGTGATGGTCGATGCTCTTCTGTTTTTCTCCTGGGATAGGTAGTAGATGCGGTTGGCCTCTGGGTAGGTGACTCTGCTGAGTGGGAGCTTGTAGATGGCGGGGTTGTTGGTCGTCAGGAGCAGGAAGGTGAGTGCGGAGAAGCAGAAGGGCCAGGTACAGGGCGGTAATCCAAACTGGGGGGGAGGGGAAGACAAGAGGAATCTTGGTTACATCAGATGCCCATGCTCATTTCATCAGCCTTTCTCAACCACCTACGGTCCTGGGTGGAGACAGGGAGGCTTTGTGGGCACTGATTGCAATAGTGCTTAACTTATGACCAATATAAATCAAATTGTGCTGTAAGGAGGGTCAGTCTCCACTGACAAGCACATATACTTCAAAATGCAGAAACCTACCAGAACCCTCTTAAAAAGTGTCTCTATGTAGAAGTCACATTTTTTTCTTGGGTGTCTGGCAAGGCTTTGCCTCCCACTATAGGACTTGTGGCCATTCTTCACCTTCTCCACAAGCCCCTGTTGAAGGAACAGCATTGGCAGCCATTTGTTGTTGTTGTTCAAAACTTTTTTCTCTTTGTTCATATCTGCTTGGACTAGAGATAAACACGTAGCCCAAATATGGCTTCCCTTAGGCAGACAACCTGGGAATAGAATCTCCCTCTTAAGAGTTTGAATTAAGAGACACAGAGACTGTGTTCAAAGGCTCTCGATCAGAAAAGGACTCGAAAGCCAGTCAGTGCTGGGTGGATATTTGGGGGCCTGTGTGCAGCAGAAGAAACCCATTCCAGAGAGACACAGGAACAGAGCAGACATATGGAGAGCAGCAGAGACATAACACCTGAGTCCCAAGGAGCTAAGAACAAGAGGGACTGCACCTCTCCTCAAGGGCACTCCCATCCCCAACAGCCCCTCTCCTGATGTGTCTCTGGTTTTTACTCCTTAAAATGCCCTGAGGCTTTTAAATACCCCTCCTCATTCTTCATTTGGGATAACCTCAATAGCTTATTAGCAAAGAGCCTGAAAATCCAACTATGAAGCAAATCAAACCAATGCCCCTTCTCCCCAACACATCCTTTTATCATAAGCAGTAAAAACCTCAGGGAATGCCACTGAAGGAATGAGGCCAGGTGTGTGTGCGTGTTCAAATATGACCCTGCTGGGTGGGACTTAAGGAGCAATGACAGTCTCTTATCAGAACTGCAGCCTTAAGGAAGGCCCATGACTGATGATTTCCACTCTGTGAGTATTTCCAAAGCCCCACTAAGACTGTCTGGGGTATTTGGGAAAGCACTCCCTTCCTACAGTGGGAAGGATGTGGGCTGGGAGTTCCACAGACCCAGATCCAAATCTCAGCTCCAGTCACCTTTGTGGGAGCCATTTCCTCTTTCTGAAAACTGTTTCCTCAATAAGAAAACAGGCATACAGCTATCTACTCAAAGAGTTGGTGCCTCGTGCATACTAAGCGCTCAATAAATGGTCTTCACTTGTGGTCACTGTCGCCCAGCAGAGGGCAGCCCTGTGAAGTGATGGGGCTGCACATGCCGGGGCCGATGAGAAAGCAAAACTGTGCGGCTCCTCAGTCCCCTCTTCTGGAGGGGAGGTGTGAACAGTCTCATAAATGTCATTCAACACTTTTATACCCTGTTCCTCAAGGAGACTGGGAATTCCTTTAGAGTGAATTAATAGCCTGCACTTTTCTGTATCCCTGAGAGTGGGCAGCCACAGTGTCTTAAACATAGTACACACACAGAAAGTAAACATGATTTTGTTTTGAAAAATGTCTAGATTGAGTGGTGTAACCTGTAACTTCTGTGCACATAGAGGAAGGGGCCATTGACCACAAGCAAAATGGGAGCCAAAGCCTCCCATTTGCATCCTTCCAGTATCTGGTCTGAGGAAGGACACATAGCTATTGGATGGACAATTAAGTGAAAGAATGGGGCAAGAAAAGATGAGAAAGCCTGGAGCAGACAGGAGCCTCAGACACCAGGCTTCATCCTGTTTCTGGTGATTGTTTTAGTCCCAGCTCTAATATACCCCATGGTGGGGGCTCACCACCTTAGAGTTTCATTCATTCTACATTTCTTGAGCACCTACTATGAGCTGAGCACTGTAACAGGCACTAGAGATAAAGACAAGAATACAATCAGGCCCCTGTTCTGAAGGGGCACAAGGGCTGAAGGTGGAAGAGGACTAGTGTGTACTAGACTTGTCGCAGTGTCATTTGTCATATGCACTTTGTCATATGTCAAATGTCATATGTCATATGTCAGGTGTCATAGCAGATATGCACACAAAATGTGATAGGGCCCAGAGAAGGGACTTAATCCAGCAGGGGACACAGGGTGGTATCAGGGAAGGTCAGTTCTATTGCTTAAAAATTTCCTTCCTCTGCTATGTGCAAACCACCCAATGTTACTGAGGGTGGAGGAGAGATTTAAACAGGAGAGATTTAAATCCCCATCTTCACCCTCACCTGTAGGACCATCAGGACTCTTCCTGGTTGCCTGTGTGATGAGCCTCCAATGCTTACGGAGGGGGAGGCATCAATTGTAGGCTGAGCCCCGTGTACTCTGCAATGGGGCCTGGGCCCCTCCTGTGTATATGGGGCTGGCGCTGGCCACGTGGCGCCCCTGGACCTCACAGGCCACCTACATTGGTGCTGAGACAAACAAAGGTTCTCAGACTGCTGTGCAAGCCCTCAGCCACCAGCTCTGGCTTCTCTCGGACTTGGCTCCCTGTCATCCCAGAAACCTTGCCTCCTGACACCAGACCCAGTAGCTGCTGTGGATGAACAAAGATGTACACTGGCCCACAAGTTAACTGGGTGTTGATCCATAAACACAGGGAAAAATTAAATAATGATGTTTTAAAATTAATTGTGGAGGAGACTGACTTATAAGAAACTTACAAAATATATGTCTGATTTATAACATCATGCTCTTCACACTGTCCTTCTATAAGGAGGCCCACTGGCCCCCTGACCACAGGATCTGATGGACTAATGTGGACATTTCCACTTTTGAGGCCCAGCTCCTCCTGTCTAGTAGCCGCTGAGGAAACTGTGATTTGAGACAGTTCAGTTCAGTTCATTTCAGTCGCTCAGTCATGTCCAAGTGTTGCGACCCCACGGACTGCAGCGCACCAGGCTTCCCTGCCCATCCAACTCCCAGAGCTTACTTAAACTCATGTCCACAGAGTCGATGATGCCATCCAACCATCTCATTATCTGTCGTCCCCTTCTCCTCCCACCTTCAATCCTTCCCAGCATCAGGGTCTTTTCCAATGAGTCAGTTTTTCACATCAGGTGGCCAAATTATTGGAGTTTCAGCTTCAGCATCAGTTCTTCCAATGAATATTCAGGACTGATTTCCTTTAGGGTGGACTGGTTGGATCTCCTTGCAGTCCAAGGGACTCTCAAGAGTCTCCTCTAACACCACAGTTCAAAAGCATCAATTCTTTGGTGCTCAGCTTTCTTTATAGTCCAAATCTCACATCCATACATGACTACCAGAAAAACCATAGCTTTGACTAGATGTTGGCATCTTTGTTGTTGACAAAGTAATGTCTCTGCTTTTTAATAAGCTGTCTAGGTTGGTCATAACTTTCCTTCCAAGGAGCAAGCATCTTTTAATTTTTTGACTGCAGTCACCATCTGCATTGATTTGTGAGCCCAAAACAATAAAGTCTGTCACTATTTCCACTGTTTCCCCATTTATTTGCCCTGAAGTGATGGGACCAGGTGCCATGATCTTAGTTTTCTGAACGTTGAACTTTAAGCCAACTTTTTCACTCTCCCCTTTCACTTTCATCAAAAGGCTCTTTAGTTCTTCTTCACTTTCTGTCATAAGGGTGGTGTCATCTGCATATCTGAGGTTATTGATATTCTCCTGGCAATACTGATTCCAGCTTGTGCTTCATTCAGACCAGCATTTCTAATGATGTACTCTGCATGTAAGTTAAATAAGCAGGGTGACAATGCACAGCCTTGACGTACTCCTTTTCCTATTTGGAACCAGTCTGTTGTTCCATGTCCAGTTCTGTTTCTTCCTGACGTGCATACAGATTTCTCAAGAGTCAGGTCAGGTGGCCTGGTATTCCCATCTCTTTAAGAATTTTGCACAGTTTGTTGTGATCCACACAGTCAAAGGCTTTGGCATTGTCAATAAAGCAGAAATTGATGCTTTTCTGGAACTCTCTTGTTTTTTTGATGATCCAATGGATGTTGGCAAGTTGATCTCTGGTTCCTCTGCCTTTTCTAAATTCAGCTTGAACATCTGGAAGTTCATGGTTCACGTACTGTTGAAGCCTAGCTTAGAGAATTTTGAGCATTACTTTGCTAATGTGTGAGATGAGTGCAATTGTGTGGTAGTTTGAACATTCTTCACCATTGCCTTTCTTTGGGATTGGAATGAAAACTGACATTTTCCAGTCCTGTGGCCACTGCTGAGTTTTCCAAATTTGCTGGAATATTGAGTGCAGCACTTTAACAGCATCATCTTTTAGGATTTGAAATAGTTCAACTGGAATTCCATCACCTCCATTAGCTTTGTTCGTAGTGATGCTTCCTAAGGCCCCCTTGACTTCGCATTCCAGGATGTCTGGCTCTAGGTGAGTGATCACACCATTGTGGTTATCTGGGTCCTGAAGATCTTTTTTGTACAGTTCTTCTGTGTATCTTTGCCACCTTTTCTTAGTATCTTCTGCTTCTGTTAGGTCCATACCATTTCTGTCCTTTATTGTGCCCATCTTGGTATCTCTAATTTTCTTGAAGAGATCTCTAGTCTTTCCCATTCTGTTGTTTTCCTCTATTTCTTTGCATTGATCACTGAGGAAGGCTTTCTTATCTCTTCTTGCTATTCTTTGGAACTCTGCATTCAAATGAGTATATCTTTCTTTTTCTCCTTTGCCTTTTGCATCTTTCTTTTCTCAGCTATTTGTAAGGCCTAGTCAGACAACCATTTTGCCTTTTTGCATTTCTTTTTCTTGGGTGATAGTCTTGATCACTGTCTCCCGTACAATGTCACGAACTTCCATCCATAGTTCTTTAGGCACTCTATCAGATCTAATCCCTTGAATCAGTTTGTCACTTCCACTTTATAATTGTAAGGGATTTGATTTAGGTCATACCTGAATGGTCTAGTGGTTTTCCCTACTTTCTTCAATTTCAGTGTGAATTTGGCAATAAGGAGTTCATGATCTGAGCCACAGTCAGCTCCTGGTCTTGTTTTTGCTGACTGTATAGAGTTTTCCCATCTTTCGCTGCAAAGAATATAATCAATATGATTTCAGTATTGACCATCTGGTGATGTCCATGTGTAGAATCTTCTCTTGTGTTGTTGGAAGAGGGTGCTTGCTATGACCAGTGTGTTCTCTTGGCAAAACTCTGTTAGCCTTTGATCTGCTTCATTTTGTACTCCAAGGCCAAACTTGCCTGTTACTCCAGGTATCTCTTGACTTCCTACTTTTGCATTCTAGTCCCTTATAATGAAAAGGACATCTTTTCTGGGTGTTAGTTCTACAAGGTCTTGTAGATCTTCATAGAACTGTTCAACTTCAGCTTCTTCAGCATTACTGGTTAGGGCATAGATTTGGATTATGGTGATACTGAATGGTTTGCCTTGGAAATGAAAAGAGATCATTCTGTTGTTTTTGAGATTGCACCCAAGAATTGCATTTTGAACTCTTTTTTTGACTGTGATGGCTACTCCCATTTCTCCTAAGGGATTCTTGCCCACAGTAGTAGATATAATGGTCATCTGAGTTAAATTCACTCATTCCAGCCCATTTTAGTTCACTGATTCCTAAAATGTTGATGTTCACTCTTGCCACCTCCTGCTTGACCACTTCCAATTTGCCTTGATTTGTGGACCTAACATTCCAGGTTCCTGTGCAATATTGCTCTTTACAGCATCAGACTTTATTTCCATCACTAGTCACACTCACAACTGGGTGTTAATTTTGCTTTAGCTCCATCTATTCATTCTTTCTAGAGTTATTCCTCCACTCTTCTCCAGTAGCATATTGGGCACCTACCAACCTGGGGAGTTCATCTTTCAGTGTCCTATCTTTTTGCCTTTTCATACTGTTCATGGGGTTCTCAAGGAAAGAATACTGAAGTGATTTGCTGTTTCCTTCTCTGGTGGACCTTGTTTTGTCAGAACTCTCCACCATGACCCGTCTGTCTTGGGTGGCCCTACATGGCTCATAATTTCATTGAATTAGACAAGGCTGTGGTCCAGTGTGATCAGATTTGTTAATTTTCTGTGATTGTTTTCCATTGTCTGCCCTCTGATGGAGAAGGATAAGAGGCTTATGGAGGCCTCTTATGGGAGAGACTGACTGAGGGGGAAACTGGGTCTTGTTCTGGTGGGAGGGGCCATGTTCAGTAAATCTTTAATCCAATTTTCTGTTGATGGGTGGGGCTGTGTTCCCTTCCAGTTGTTTGACCTGAGACCAAACTATGGTCGAGGTAATGAAGATAATGGCGACCTCCTTCAAAAGGTCCCATGCACGCATTGCTACACTCAGTGCCCCCAACCCTGCAGCAGGCCACCGCCGACCCACTCCTCCACCAGAGACTCCTGGACACTCACGGGCAAGTCTGGGTTAGTCTCTTGTGGGGTCACTGCTCCTTAAGATCACATATTGAAAGAAAATGAAGAGCTTCCCTGATGGCTCAATGGATAAAGATCTACCTTTTCAGTATTTCAGATGCAGCCTTGCAGAGATTACAGAATCTCAGTGAGGTGGCTTAATTTTTTCCCTGTATCTGATACATCTGCATAATCATCCTAGCAACCCACGATGGAGGATCCACAATGCAAATGATTTGAGACAAGAGAGATGGATTGGGGAGGGGTTCTTGGAAGAGGGGCTTGGGGGGCCGAGAGAACATGGGGGAGGGTGTGAGGCATGTCCTTAGCCCCGTTGACTCACCACAGACAACATGTTAGCCAGGGCGGTACCGAGGTAGGCTGCAAATAGTGCTGCAAGAGAACGAAGAAATAGTCAGGAAACTAGCAGTGCCTCAAGTTTATACATTCTCTCCCCATACATTTTATGCCACAAATGCTATCTCTCAGGTTAAAAAAAAAAATTGAGTTACATTTCCATTGCTTGGCAGCTTTGAAAAGTGTTAAATTCCACGCAAATGCCGGCATAACTAAGACAGCAGATGAACTTTGTTAAAAAGGACCAGAATTTAGCTGTTACAGTTCTCCTGGGTCCTACCACCTTGCATTCTAGCAAAGGAACATTTAGCAGCATAAACCATAAATGAACATTTTACTATACAGCCAAGGTGTGTGAATCCCAGAACTCCCTGCTGGGATATTTAATCACAAGTTATTAACATAATATGGGTTTCCAGGGAGGAACAGCATTCTGTAAGCTTGAGGAAGACCAAATATGCTTGCTGCCTCGTCATCTGGGCTTTGCGTGTTGAGGGCATCGCCAGGCTAGCCACTGGGGAGACCCAAGAGCTGGTGGGAGGTCAGGGTCTGTGAAAATGGGCCACAGTAATTGGGATTTGCTTCTGAACCCTCAATTTCTCCACTAAAAACATCCCAATGGTTCGTAGGATATTAACAACAGCAAACCTTTATTAGAAAGTCACTGAATACCCCGACCACACACCTACAATCATTATTTGAAGGTCCTATGGTCAGTGTTTGGGTGTTTAAGATTAACTGCTGTATCTGATGTAAATCACCCAATTCTCCATATAAAGATTAATTTACACAAGAGTTGCTTCAATCACCGGCCTGGAAAGCAGCAATCACAGACAACAAATGAACAATCTCCATCAAAAACTCTGTCTTCGTGTGGCTGAACACTTTGCATTCAATGAAAATAGTTTTTAATGTAAACTATTGTAATGTCAAGAACTATTCAAAATAGTTTAAAATAAAAATCCCTTTATAAAGCAAACAAATCCTCCCATTTATCTTTGGAGGCTCAGCAGAAGTTTTGCAGGTGGTTTCCTCGTGGGCATAGACACTGGTGTCATTTGAAGTGGATAGGGAACTCTGCACGCAATACCCACCACAGGCGATGGCAAGGAGGTGCGTCTGCCAGGTGATGACATAGAACATGCCTCCTATGGCGATGCAGGCCAGCGAGCTGTTGAAGCCACACAGTCCGAAGTAGATGGAGTCAAAGGGCGTCGCAAGAGTGAGAGCTGGGGGAGAAGACAGGCTGAGTGCTGTGTGGGATCAAGTGGGCCCACTAGCCCTGAAGTCCCCCGCCGTCCTCAACTCAGACAGTTATCAGTACCCCTGGAGAATTTATGAAAAGGACTCCTGACTATTCAGGGGGAAAACATCTGAAGGAGACAAGTGGCTTTAGAGTCACATGCATATCAGTGGCTCAGCTGGTATGGGTTTGAGACTCTTTTGAGTAAAGATCTGAAGTTTGATTGAACAGTGCCAGAAGAAGGAGGGTTAAGGTATCAACCTGAATGTTCTCTCATGGAGAACAAGCTTCTTATCATGATTAGAGATAAGGCTTACAATATAAACACACCTGGAACAAGCTCCTCCCAAGCTTTTAGTTTTATCCAGAGGTGTAAGTGACCAGAGCTTTTCTCTGGATGGGGTTTGCTAAGCGGAGCAGCAAGGTGCAGCACCCAAAATGCAAAGAACAGGTGACGTGGAAGGAAGAAGAGTTTACAGGAATAAGCAGGTGGAGCAATGAAGATACACGTCACCATTTTCTTTGGAGCTGGCCCCAGGCACAACATTCTTGCAGCTCATTAATAAGGGACCCATTCATAAGGCCCATTAATTAAGTTAATTAATAACGACACTAACCTGCTAACATCCCAATGGCAGATCCGATCGCAGCGTGCAAGCAAATTAGAGGCGATGATATGAACAAAGCTATGAGGAAAATGCCTCCAGTCCAGGGGTTATCACAGCCGTACACTTGGCCGATTCCAACAGGGATGGCTCTCAAAAGCTGCAGGTCCAACAGGATCACATGCAGTTATGGAGGCAAAAGAGACAACTTGAACCTTGGCTGGAAAATATTTGGTGCCAAGCCCTCCATACTAACATTTTGCAACAGTTTTCCAAGATATTTTCAGTTAATTTCACTTCACAAGGAATACAAGATTTATTGTTTTAATTTTGAGTTCTAAGAACAGTAAAGGGTTAAAATGTTGTTTCCTTTATTTAGAAACATGAGTGTAAGGCACTAAACTCCCAGGCTCCTCTGTCCATGGAGTTTTCTGGGCAAGAATACTGGAGTGAGCTGCCATTTCCTACACCAGGGGGTCTTCCCAAACCTATGGATCAAACCCATGTCTGTTGGATCACCTTTATTGGCAAGCAGATTCTTTACTTTTGCACTACCTGGGAAGCCCTACAACCCTGAAATTCTCCTTTAAAAGCTCCTGAACAGCAGTGGGGAGTTAGTTCTTGGACAGGAGTCCACCTTCCACCCTGGTTGCTGGCCTCTGAAATAAAGCAAATTTTCCTTTCCTACCAATGCTTGTCTCTTGAGAACTGGCTTTTGAGTGGAGTAACTGGACTTGGGTTTAGTAAAAATCATTAGAAAATTACTAGATGGCTGATCAGAGTTGGGATTGAAAAACTCTTGTAACATCTTTTTCTTTTTTTAAGCTAAAAACATGCATAGAAGGCCAAATATTAGATGGGAACAAGAACAGCATGTCTGGTCATACTGGTGCAGTCCTCTGGATGAGCAGCTAGATTTGTATGCACAGAGGAGCCCCTGGGCCGGTGGTACCCTGGCATGTGCGGGTTTTAGTGGTAAAGCCATCACGTGGCGGCTGATGGGGGAGTGCCCTGATGTGTCCGGCCTCCGTGTGTCTCAAGTAGTGAATGTCTGTGGACGAGAAAGGAAGTCCAGAGTCCAGTGCCTTGTGGGCACTTGCACACGCACCCTGAAGTTTGGGAAAAGATCCTGGGCACACAGGCTTCCCCAGTGGCTGAGAATGGGTCTGTGTTTTGAAGGGTGGACAGAGGGACTTGAGCTAGGGAAACGTGGGAGGGGCTCTGGGCCTGCTGGGGGGCATTGGGTTCATGCTCCCCTTGTTTATAGTTCATGGTGAAGCAGGTCTTCCCTCGGCCCACGTCCTCTGAGGCCTCCTCCTGGGGTGCTGGGGAGGGAGGTCTTGTGGCTCTAGGGCCCTCACCCACATCCAGATAGGACTGCAGTGGTCTAGTGGGCCACCCTCTGGGCTCAGTCCCCCCGTATCCTAGGACAGAGAACAGGACAGGACTCAGACATTGGCTCTGCGGGGGACAGCGGGACAGACGGAGTTATGGATGGAGGCAGTGGCTGGGCTATTTGGTCCCCAGCCAGTTGCAGCCTCCGGCAGGCTTTCCCATCACCAAAAAGCAGGGGAGCCTGCAGAACCTCAAAATCCTTGGGAGGCCTAGACCCTCTCTCTAACATCTACCACTGTTTTCCCAAACTCAAGGCTCTAATTGTGACTGTCAAAATGACAAGACATACTCACCATCATCACAATCCATTCAAAATTAGCCAGAAGAGTATTTCTCAAAGAATAATCACCAAGTATTGACTCTGTCTTTCCTGGAACTTTGGGGCTTCCAAAGTATTTGTACAGTATTTTCCATTTAATTTTTTTTAACAAAATTCCTAGTTATCTTTTCTATGGAAACTGTGGTTTTGAGAATGCAAAGTATCTCAGACTTGCCCTTTCTACCATCATCCCCCCATAGCCATGCCAGTTAGAGCCATTTTGACTTGAAGATACTGATTGGATGAATATTGTGAAAGGGAAGCGTGAGGGTCTGAAATGTTAACATGGCATGTCTCTCACCTTTGGCTCACGAAGGTATACATACACACACACATACATATCAACAAGCATGGGGCTAATGTGAACATGTCTCTTCCTAGATAATACATCTTGAGCAAATGCAGGGCTCTTCTTTCCATGCCATCCTGCTGTCTCCCTGAACTCTCAGAAAAACTAGGCACCCTTATGTCTGACACAAAGTCCCTTCAACAAGCCCAGGTGGCGTTGTGGTTAGATGATAGACTGCTAATAACAAATTTCAGAGTGAGCGCTGGTCCACAGAGCCATTTAGTGTAACGGTAGAGGACCTCAGAGAAAATGTGCCCAGTTTAAGAAAGAAGGTTGATGGGCACGTTTCTCCAGGCTGACTTGCAGCTTTTAGCCTAGTTTTTTTTTTTTTTTCAGTCTATCTTGGCAGACTTCCAGAGGCCAGCATTATATACAGAACGCTTACCAAAAGCTTAAAAAGCTCTGCTAGTTGTTTCTTAGTGGAGGAACACCTGTGTTTTAAAGTGGGCGATGCCCCAGAGAGCGAGGGGAACCCGCTCCCCAGCCTGGAGCAGAGACTTCTGCAGCCAACAGACGGCAGTGTGGTGTGCACGTCGTCAATGATTCAAAGACATTGAATGAGAAGAAAAACATGATGTAGCTTGGATTGAACTGGAGTAAGGGATCAAAAAGGCTCAAAAAAAAAAAAAGATAAAAGAATCCAAATATAGAAGTCAGGAGGCTTCTTTTGATTTTACCCCTCACTCATTAGCTGCATGACCTCAGGCAGTCTCTTAACCTGGCCTTGGTCTCTCTCTCAGGCTATGACAGGACAGAGTGGGGCCAGAAATGGCCCTTATAGCTCTGAAAAAGAGAAAAGAAAAAGCTGGTGGCTTATGTGATTTTGTAGGTAGAGTGCCTTGCACTGAATAATTGGTAATAGGTATTAATATAACTGGATGTTTCTGACATGCAAAATAAGTACATGCCACTTTAACACTGAGTGTGGGCAGGCGCTGCCCTTCCACCGTCCACGATACCTACCAAGGGCACTTGGATCTCTGACCAGGTGATGTTGGGCACGGAGGAGACCGGCTGCAGCAGCGTCGTGGGGAAGAAGAGGTTGTAGTGGCCTGTGGCCGCCAGGTACAGGGTCACGGCGATGTTGAAGGGCAGCGTGAAGACCGGGAGGTCCCACTTGCTGAAGATGGTGCCCAGGGCACTGGAGAGGATGGGGCTGATGGCAGAAGCACAGGAGATGCTGTTCAAGAAGCCCCCTGGCCTTGGCGCTAGACTGAGCGGGACAAGGGGGCTCCCCGAGCCTTCTCGGGGGAAAGCCAGCTGGGTGGCTCCCTCTCCCGGCCTGACTGGCGCTGGGCAGCCCTCTCCCTGGGCCTCCTTCCTCCACCCCACACAGCAACAGGGCGGGTGCCCAGACTCAGCTTCAGAAGCAGGTCTTTTGGGGAAAGTCCTCAGGCAAGGGAGTCACAGAACTTCCTTGAAGGGCCTTAGGGCTCCCTCTGCAGGCGCGAGCAGAGAGGACAGACCAGCGAAGGGGAATCCCATTCATTCATTCAACAGATGTTTGCAGAGGAGCTGAGGGCGATCCTGGCCGGGGTGCCCTGTGGTTTCTGGAGGGGAAGGAGGAGCTGGGGTCTGGCCCCCTGAGGGCTCTTGGCAGTGACTGGGCCTGCTGTCCACCCTGGGAGGTTGTCCTGGTAGGGTCATGGGGTCCGAGGACAGGGCAGTGCTGGGGAGAAGGGATGAGAAGTTTTCCGGACAGTGACAGGACCCCATGGCTCCAAACCCTCTGTGGACCTGAGTTTCCTTCCCTGTGCTCTGGTGGGGTAGGGCCAGGGGCTCTTAGTTCTCAAAGAAGAAGAGTGAAGGAGCATAGGTAATGAAATGCTGTGTGTGGAACGCCTAGCACAGCGGTGCTATCACGGTACAATGTCAGTAATTACTTTTAGATGGTATTTCTGATGTGACGATATTTCTAAGGAAACGCTGCTTTGAACTCCTGTTTAGGTGGTCACAGAGTTAGGGGACAAAGGTGGACAGCCCTTCATCTGCACCCACAGCCTCAGAAGCAAGCTTACCAAGACATGGACATCACGATGACCGGGAGTAGCAGCCACCAGAAATAGTCGCCTTTGTCTGAGAACACGGCCATCAGTAGCCCCACCAGCACCCCGTTATAGCCGTGAAGTCCAGCTGCGATGGCGGACCTGGGGGGGGAAGGCTACTGAAGAGGGGTCCCCTGTGGCCCAAAGCAGGGCACGGCCCCCCTGATTGTCTTTCTGAGCCAGGCTTTTCTCAGCTGGAGCCTCACCACACACACTTTCCGATCATCAACCCTTCACCGGCCCCTGGACAACGTGCGGTTTTGTAACTAGGGGGTGGCTGTTTTAGCTATGAGTGACCTTCTTTGAGGAGTTTTTGAGCCGTGAGCCAAGCAGTGAGGATGGGAAGCTGGCGAAGGGTCCCCTCAGGGAGCTACCCCTGGTCTCAGGCTGGGACCCTGGTTTCCTGGGACTCACTTGTCCTGACTCAGGATGAGGGCTGTCAGGGTGGACACCACAGTGCCCAGGCAGCCCGAGATGGCCCACCAGGGGTTCTGGATGAAGAGGCCGAGGACGATGAGGATGCCGCTGAGGGGGTTGTTCACAAACATCACCTGGGACATGCCCCGGAGCACCCAGTCGAGGAACTGGAACACCGGGGATTTGTCTGAAAATGAAATGGGTCAGGGAGTCAGTCAAGGCTCAGTTGTGCCAGGTGAGGCCCCAGCGGGTTAGAGGGTGAGGGAAGCTGGCAGCCAAGGTGGGTTCAGCTCCCTGATGTCACCTGCCACAGAGCGGGGTGACGAAAGGACTCCAGAGGGTGTCTGACTGCCCAGAAAACCCTTCAGGCCCATTGTGAGCTGGCTGTGGTCTGTAGGTTGTTGTTCAAGCAGTGGGTATCCTGTACAACCTGTGCCTGCAGGAGAATGGCCTGAATTTTCAGGAGGATGGATCCAGGTGCCAGCTCCCTGGCCTGAGTTCTGGGAGACTGCTAATGGGAACCGGTCAGAACAGTAGACACAGCTCTCCCATAAGCCATTTCTAGGTGGGCATTTTTCTAGAAAGCTGGCTCTAGAATCCCAGTACTAAAAAGTGACATTCTGAGGGGGTATTGGCAAGAGCGTGACTGTTATGTTCAGAGTTGAGAGCTCGCACATCTACGGGTATTGGCATTTACATTATGAGAGTCCATATGCCTGTTGTAACAGGGAAACTCCTATCCAATCCTATCCATGGAAACAGGACTCCTTCCCATCTATATAGATCCGAGCAGCGTGTTTCCTAGAGGACGGCCAGAGGGGACCCTGTTAGGGGTGGGAGCAGGGGCTGCTCTAGTGGAGCGTTTACCTTTAAGACCCTCCCCACACTCCTTCATCTCTCCGGTGATGTACCCCAGGGTTTTGCGGACCCTCTTCCCGATGGCAGCCAGGGAACTCCGAGTCCAGGAAGTCTTGGAGATGCCTGTTTCTACCTTTATCTCGGAGCTGTCCTCCATGGTGTCCAGATCCTGTCCAGGGACAAGAGACGGGCAAGAAACCCCCACATTCTGAGCTTCTCACACTGAGGAGTGAAGTGCTTACCAGGTGGCAGGCTCAGATTTTCATTTGATATTTAGTGAAGTTGCTATTTAAGCATCTTTGTTTCTGTAGACTAGAATATCTTTTGTTTCATTTGACATGTTACTTCATTTAATATAGGCAACAACCTTGTACCCTTGGCATCTGTATCATTTACAGATTTAATTAACTGTGGATTAAAAATATTTGAAAAAAATTTCCAGAAAGTTCCAAAAAGGAAAACTTGAATTTGCTGCACACTGGCAACTTTTTATTAATACGTATCATTTACATTGTATTTACAGCTATATACACAGCATTTTCATTGTATTAATAGTAAGTATTGTAAGTGATCTAGAGATGAATTAAAATGTATCAGAGGATGTGCATAAGTTATATGCAAATATTAATACTATGCCATTTTATGTAAAGGACTTGAGCATCCACAGATTTTGGTACCCACTGGGGATCCTGGAACCAATCCCCCATGACAAGTGTGACAAGACTTTAGCCTCATTCTGTGGATGAGGTCTCAGGCGTGGATGGAGAGGTTAGGTTCTCCCTTACAAAGGTCAAGGTCAAATGATAGAATTTAGATTTACCCAAAAATTTTTAGATTCTTTTTTTAAAAAATATTACTTCTAGTATACCACACTCTTTCCAGAAGGTAGTACCCCCCCAACTCCAGTATGTCTAGTCTTTTAAAATTAAACAAGTAAAGATTTTGTTTTGAAAATTAACACCAGCTTATTTCCTAAGTACTTGAATGCTGGATTCAGAAGGACAAACACAAGATAATCAAATAAAAGAAGCAGCAAATTTTATAAAGTGAACTGAAAAATAGACATCTTTATCCCACATAATTATGTTTCTAGAAACATGAATTCAAGAAAAGTTTGCCTAATCCAGAGGATGTCTTTCTGAACCCGGTTTTTCTACTCTGCGGCAGGCTCTGAGATGCGGGTGCCATCCCTGATTTGGGCCACTCTTTACTCACCAGCAACTCGACCGTGGGCTTCCGGAATAGGTGGGGAGAAGGGTCTTTGGGGTGTCTCTCCTGCTGCTCACCTTTACCAAACACGAGTCGGAAGAAGAGAGCACCATCAGTTAGGACCTCTACCCTGGCACCTTTGCAGCAAGCCTCCTGCCAGGTTTGACTTGGAATGCTCAGCACTTCTGGCCCACTGAGGATGCCCTGGGCATGTCTCCTTGTATAGGAAGGCCCCTCCTCTGCTACTGTGAACACCCATGGGCAAGCTCTTTGGGGAAAAAAAAATGCACATCTTGATGTGGAACTCAGAGGCTCGGCTGACTTTTAGTAAAGAGGCTCTGATTTTACTCAACTCCTGCGTTTTGTAGATGAGGAAACAGAGCTACTCGTGAGCCCTGAATCCAGGGTTCTTTCCCTGCATGACACAAAGACTGATATTTATAAGGTGCTATTGCTCATAAAGCATTAAGCTGCATGAACCATCTAAGGTCTATATTCAAATTTTACTACAACTCTTCCCAGCTGGATGACCTAAGCTGTTTTGGTCTTTTTTAGGATTATGTCTCGGAATTTTAGATATTTAAAGCAGCAGTGGCTGGTTGGATTAAGACAAGGGATACCCACGTTGTTAACTCAGAACAGATTTTGGCATGTCCTTGTAATTCTAGAAAACTCATTTTAAGTATTTGCATTATTATGAGATAATGTATTTGTAAATTGATAATTTCAGAAGTGTTTAGGTGTCATGAAAGGCCCTTGGAAATTTTGCTGTTAGTGCTCTGGTGCCCTCTTGTGGTCAAGTGTGAGAATGGCAGTCTGGGCTCTCGCCGAGAATCTTGAAACAATTGGCCACTCAGCCCGCATTTATGAGATTTCAGGGCACTTAGACACTAGAAGTCGGAGAAGGCAATGGCACCCCACTCCAGTACTCTTGCTTGGAAAATCCCATGGATGGAGGAGCCTGGTGGGCTGCAGTCCATGAGGTCGCTAAGAGTCGGACACGACTGAGCGACTTCACTTTCACTTTGCACTTTGATGCGTTGGAGAAGGAATTGGCAACCCACTCCAGTGTTCTTGCCTGGAGAATCCCAGGGACGGAGGAGCCTGCCATCTATGGGGTCGCATAGAGTCGGACGCGACTGAAGCGACTTAGCAGCAGCAGCAGCAGACACTGGAAGAGATGCATCAATGGCCCTGTGCCCCCTCATTGGAAGGAGCAGGAACTGCAAATACCAGTGTGGTGGTTGCGAAGTCACACTACGTGGGAGAAACAAATCAAGGAAGTTTGAAAGGAAGAGTAGGAAGCAAAGAGGATACTCTAGCCTCCGAGGCCAGTGTGTGTGACATCCTGAGAGATTCTCTGCTTCTGTCTGAAACGCCAACTCTCCAGCAGCTCCCACTAACCCTTCTCCCAGGCTCCCTAGTGCAGGGCTGTCTGCCAGGCCCTCCCTTACCCCAGCCCTCCGACACCATCCTAAGATGTTTGCAGGGAGAGTGTTAACTTTTGGAAGCAAACTGTGCTCTCTTCCTAGGGATGCCCTGGGGGCTCTGTCAAACTTCTGGCCCAGAGGAGTCCTCTCTGGGGGTAACAATTAGGCCTTCATGAGACTTCTCCCACCTTGTGTCTGATTGGAGACCCCCCCATCCCTCCCTTGCCTCCTCCCTGTTTGCCCCAACCTGCTCCAGCATCCAGGTTTCTGGCTTCCCTGCCTGTTCAGCTCTGGCTGCCATCTGGACCTCTTCTTGGTTGCTGGGAGCCCCTCCCCTCACAGCTGTAGGAGAGAACTTTTTATCTCTAGCAGCGTGACCGTCATGACCACATCGTGGTTGTGATTTGCAGCATTTTTGGGATCACTTTAAGTGTGATGTTTTATTTAATTTTATTTTTTTGTATTTTGGCTATACCTGCTGGTGGCCTGCAGACCAGTTCTGCAACCATGGACTGAACCCAGGCCACTGCAGTGGAAGCACCAAATCCTAAGCAATAGGCCACCAGGCACCTGCCTTACGGAGAGCTGTGCAAGCTTCTTCTGCCACCTAGGCTGCCTCCCAGATGAACTATAGTAGCATTTCTGGGCATGGGATGCCGGTCGTTCCAATGTGCCGTCAAGTTTGCAACCCTCCTGGCCAAGACTGACAAAGCCTGTCTCAGCTCCAGTCTCCCCATCCCTGGCTGAGACTCTGAGACCCATGGCTGTAGTCAGAGGTTGGGGAATGACGAGAATGAGCCTCACCCTCACGGATTTCCCCACTGTCTGTGATAGAGGTGCTGCCAGGGTCCCCATTTTAGAGGTGAAAAGGTCAAGTCCCCCTGGGAGCCATGGGGGGAAGCACACACCTTTGCTCTTCCTGTGGATGGATGATCCCTCGATATGGAACACGTTCCTGGGCTTGGGAAGCACGGCCTCCAAGCCCTCATCTGCCTTGGGGCTCGTTGAGGGTGGCTCTGCCTCAGTGTTGCCTGGCCAGGGGCAAAACGAGACAGGTTAGTGTCCCACCCTGGTCCACCCCCCGAGGCAGGCAGAGAGCGCCGGGAAATTCATGCAGAGCTGGAGGAGCACTACCAAGCTGCAGTAGTGGTTGCGTCAGTGTCTACAGGAAAAGCCCTCTTTCCCGTTCTTCCTGCTAAAACTTCCACTTCCTTTCCTTATAGAAACCACATCAGAGATACCTATCAGTGTCAAGATACAGATGGGCCAGCCTGCCTTGTTCCCCCAGCAAGGCACTGCTCTAAGCCTCCTTCACTGGTCTTCGGACTGGTGTGGATGGTGGACCTGAGCCCCCTGCCCATTCCTGCCCTTCGGCCAGTGCCCTGGTCTCTGTCTGCTGCAGAGTATGTGTGTGTGTGTGGGGAAGGGTCCTCAGTGCTCCCTGCACATCAGAGCCACCCAAGTGCTTAAAAAATGTCTGACTCCCATCCCAGACCAATTTTAAGTCAGAATTTTAAGGTCAATGGTATTTAAGAGATGACCCTATTGTGCAGTTGGAGCTGAGAACCTCTCATCTAGAGTCTTGCTACTCAAAGTGTGGTCCCCGGACCAGCACCATCAGCCTTCTCTGGGAGCTTGTTAGAAATGCAGAACCTCAGCTTCCACCCAGACTGATGGAATCAGAATCTACAGTTGAACAAGATTCCCCAGGTGCTTTCTGGCACATTGGTTTGCTCTGTGGGTGGTAAGAGTCCTGAGGTTGTGATCAGCTACCAGAAACCTCGGTGAAAATAGAGTAGCTTATCACCTGGGTAGGGTTTCTCAAAGTGGGGTCTGTGAATCGACAGCATCAGATCACCTAATGGCTTGTTATGAAGCGTGCCCCACACTGATTAATTTGGGTACTTGGTGGTCCTCAAGGTATGCAGTTTTGACACTTTCTGCTTGTGGTTCCAGTGAACTCTGGAGTTAGATGATCAAATGGCTACCTGGAATAGTGGAGAGCTCTTGCACTGTCTTTACATTTGGATACTTTTGGGGCATTGTTATCTTCAAAAGATGGAAAACTTAGGCTCACATGATTTCTGAAGCACTCTACAGTGAGTCACATGGCCCTCAGCCCGCATTCTTTTCTCTGCATCTTTGCTGCTCAGCATCTGGTTTGTGGACTGGCTTTACAGACATCGAAGGGCACTTGTTAGAAATGCAGACTCTTAGGTCCCATCTCCGACCCACTGAACTGGAATAAGTTTGTTTTTTTAAACAAGATCTCCAACTGACGTGTGTACATTAAAGTTTGAGAAAACTGGTCTAGATCACATTGTAGAAACGTGTAGAAACATCATGTAGAAACAGCTTCAGCAAAGCTGAGAATATAGCATCAGCAACCAGAGTATGGGGAACGTGTATGAGCAAGAAAAGGGGTTTGTCTATACTCTCAGACTGGAAGTTCAAACATGAAACTTCAAACACGCCCCTCCCCTCTAGGCTTGGGATGGGAAAAATCTATTTTACCCAGCATCCTGTCTGTGGGTCACCACGTAGCCTTAACTCCAGAGACCGGAAAAGCGCTGGTACGTCAGACACAAGTGAATAAGGCACCTCCGCAGGTAGTTCTGCGCAGGAGGGTGGGGACCCAGAAGGTATCATTGCATCATCTGACAAAGCAGGGCATTTTCCCATAGCCAGTCCGCAGGGCACATCTGCCAGGTTGGAAGGGCACCTCTGCCTGCCCAATGCTTTTCATCCCTCATATGCCAAGTATCAGCCACCCCAGTCACCCTCGGCATGGAGCAATATATTGACCTTATTTAGCATCATAGACTCAGAATTGCATGGATCTTCAGAGTCACAGTCTACTTTCCAAGTCCAGAGAAATCACATTACTCCCCCCCCACCTCTCCCAAATCAGGTCGTTATTAATTATGGCACAGCCGGGAGTTGCACCCGGGTCTCCTGGCTCCCAGTTTGCTGATCTCTAGAACTGTCTTTCCTTTCCTGACCTGGCCCTTTGCTTTCAGTCCTCATCAATAGACTGTGCTGCCTGCTCAGAATCCAGGAAAGTAGGGTAGGGTCCATATTACCATGTATTCCTAGAACTGATGTCCCAGCCACAGAAACAAAAACAGAGAGTATCTTTCTTTTCCTTGAACCCATGTTTTGTTCTTAGGTGGGGAGGTTGGGAAGGCAGCCCCAGACGTGGTCTCATATAGTGTTGCTTCTGGTCTCCTGTGGGCAGGACGGGAGTGCAGACCACAGACTGACCACCCAGGGAGGCTGACAGCTCCTGCAGATGTGCCGGCCAAGAGAGGAGGGTGGCAGGTGGGAACAAATGCCACAAGGACGATTGGAGAGAAAATAACAAATTTCCCGAGGCTGTGAAAATACTTATAAGTTGAGGTGATAGCAATTTCCCACTACCTTTGGGACAGATTCTCAGGACTTTCATAACAGATAAAGGCAATTTCAAGGATATCATGAACACATCTATCAAATGCTCTAGAAAGAAATGTCCCATTGGTGTGGTGGGGTAAAAAGAAAACAATGATAATTCTGGCCAGGAACCAGCATCACTCATTTCTGCACTGTATTTTGCAAGTCATGAAATTTCATTGACAGTTTCCCCCATTGCAAGCACAGTAGTTAGAAGGAGATCAAGAGACCCTATAGGGCTGACCTTGCCAACCCAGCCTAAACAGGATGATGACAGGTATTTTGGAGGGTACCTGCTATTTCACTCTCATATTGTTACGAAGATGAGATTAATGCTCACAAAATGCTGGGGAGAATAACCTTGCAATGCTGACATCAGGGAGCTGGCTCCTCGGGGAGGCCATGCTCCAGAACAGCTTGTGCTCTGGGCAGAGTGGGTCCTCATGTCAGGCCAGGCCTGGCAGCTTACACATACCAGCACCCACTCCTACCTCATGTTCCTGTCTGTCACCCTCATAGGATCCTTGACAGCCCATTTTTTTCCCTTACAGTGGTTTTTCTTGGCACCCCCAGCACCCAGCATGATCCTGGCATATTGTAGGTACTCAGAAGTATTTGTTGACTATGTTAATGAGGGATAATTACCCTAGACATTTAAATTTCTGACTGGTATAATGAACCACCATTGACTGGGTATGAACCATCATTTCAGGGTATGAACTATTAAAAAAAATTATATATCTCACTGTAGATGTTAAATACTTCGTAAATACTGAAAGTGAGAGCCTTCCACAGGTTCACGATGGTGATGGCTGAGCTGTGTAGGGATTTGGAAACTGATGGGCAAGAGTTGAGTGTTTCCAGCACTGCCTGGAGAGAAGAAGGGGAGTTTATAGACGTGATAAAGTGATGGGCCGCCTTTGACCAACCAAGCAGAGGCCCAAAAGTCCTTCATGAGTGGATAGAAGAACACAGGTAATGAGAGAGGATGAAACAGGCCACTGAAGACAGAGATCTTGCTTCATGTGATTTGTTTTGGTTAGCAAGAGATTATACCCCATGGCTGAAAACCGCCAAGCTGCTTGGAAGGTGGGGGACTGGGTGTTCTAAAGCTCAAGAACAAAAATTTTTTAACAATAACTCATTTTGTGGGGTTATTTCCAGCTTTCCCCCTAACATCATGGCACACAAAAAATAGTACTGCGTGGCACGATGCATCAAACAGATGGCCTGAGCCTGGGGACTCGGGCCATGCCAGGCTCCCTCTGTCTGCTTCGAGGACCAAGGGCTTTGCTCTCTCAGCCCAAATACACGAGTGCTGGGAAGCTTAGTCCTTGAGAATCTGCAGGCAAACCTTAGCAGCTGAGTAACTCCTCGGCGTGCCCACCTGACATAGGACTGCTGTTACCTCCTTCTCTAACCAGACTTTTAAGTGTCTCAGTGCAGGCAGCTTTATACTGGGGCTGTCCAGGACCATTTCAGGGGCACGGTCCCTGCCCTCAAGGATTGCCAGCATCTTGTGTCTTAAGAGGCAAGAGTCCAGCGATGCTGTCCTCTCATTGATTCAGAGAAGGAAAGAACAGTCATGAGCCACAGTGATTTGCTCAAAAGCACTTTTTTTTCTTTCTGGTGAGTAGTATCCATAGTATCTACGCCTCTACTGATTGCTAACATACAGAAAATGCCATCTGTTCAAATATCAGGGGTAAAGGTCATTTTATAGAAGAGCCCACCTGTCAAATACAATTTTGAAGCTTACTAAAGTTCCTTTTGGGGGGGAAAACCAAACCCAAACCGTTATGACATCTTTCAGAAGAGGAAAAATGATCTAGTCTATTTTACTAATAATCAACCTTTACTGAAACAAGTCTCTACCTATACACTTTCTACAAGCTGTCTTTCTCAGGCTTTGAACAGGTTTTCCTGCCTCCTGGAGGTGGGTCAATGCTGTCCATCTGTCACTAGCAATCCCCAACACATAGAGGATCTGGAACCTACTGTCAAGACCCTTTTGTCATCTCTCCCCAGATCCATAGGTCTTTTATTTCTCCAACTTACTGTGGCAGAGGCTCCCACAACATCATGAGGCAATTTCCTAGCTACTATACCAGAAGGATATTTTTTGAAGTGACAACTGTATATAATTTGATTTTCCCCTACATCCAGTCCTACAGGATAACACTTTGGCCATGATTTGGGCTCACATTTCCCATGCAGAAGTTGAGCTTTGCACTGTGATGTGTAATTTTCAAGGCTACCATGCACGTGTGTATGTGTGATGCAGACATCTGTGGGTGGTAAATGAGGTGTTATCTTTTTTTGTGAAGTTGTGTGTAGTTGACATTTTCAAAGATCATTCCATTGACTATCAGAGGCATTGAACGTTAACTGGAAAAGGCTTTTGACCATATCCAGTCCAGATCTCTGATCCAGTCCTTCCTCTAGTAGCCGCATCCTCAGAGAGGTGGAAAGGAAGGCTTAGAGGAATGGGGGAACTTTGGAGTCTCTGTCTCACTCCATGAAGACATTAACTAGCATAAATGAGTTGGTGCTTCATTTAACCTCATTTAACCTTATAACAACCTCATGAATGAAGTTG